TCTCCACAGGTTCTTGACGGAGGTACAGGGAGATGATAAAGTTACCAAGGAAGATGCACAGGGAATCATTAACAGCTCTTCTATTCTCCACAGAAGAGGGCTCCACCTCGATGCTTTCTTCAAGTACCTCCTCAGTGATGCCAATCTTCCTCTCTCTCCCGTTGGGGTAAAATCTTTTATCTTTTTATCTGTTTTTTGAGGTTTTCCTGTTTGGTTGCCGAGAAAATGTTGGAGAACTAAATAAAGTTTTTACCTTTTTTTTCTCCAAAAAAAGTTGCTCCTGTGTTTAAATGGGTCTAATTCTTCTTGGATTTTGGTTGTGGAATGGAGTTTTCTTTTGATTTTTCCTGTTTGCTTGCTAGGAAAAGCTTGAATAACTGAGAAACAACTAGGAAGTAATGCCTATATTTTCTTTTGAAATTTCGCCCCTTTAGCACTTTCTTTTACAGTAATTAGTCTCTTTTTTTGCTAAAATACAGAACTTTTCGCCAATCAGACAGATCCTAGTTAAGATCATGTTGTAGCTAAATGCATATTTGCTTAGTTTGTTCATGACTATTGTTTAATTTGGTTTTTCAGGTGCACAGGGATATGTCTGCTCCATTGTCTCATTATTTCATATACACCGGTCATAATTCTTATCTAACTGGGAATCAACTAAGCAGTGATTGCAGTGATGCCCCAATCATACAAGCACTTCACAAAGGTGTACGAGTAATTGAATTGGATATCTGGCCAAATTCTTCGAAAGAAAATGTCGATGTCCTTCATGGAGGGTACAGTTTTAATGTGCAAATGCTGGAAACTTTAATTAGATAACAATAACGACATGTGACTTTATTTGGTAGATCTGCAATTGCTGAGCTAGTGAAGGAGAGAACCTATGATGACTTTGTATGGTGTTAAGTCACAATGATTTATAGTGTCCTTGCGCTGAATTTTGTTATATACTAACATGATAATTACAAATGTAAGTTAACGAGTCATCAAAGTTCCATCCTCGATGCAAAGTGTTTCCTATTATCGTGTTGTTGGTTCCTAAAGTATTTAACTTTCTCGTATATTTTGCATTACAAACCAAACTGGAGGAAAAAATGCTTGTTGTTACTGAAAGGGAATACGGAATCCTAAGTCTTAAAAGTCTTGGGTAATTTAGTGAATGCTGATATAGAATTAATGTTATATTGCTTATTTTCTCCTTCATTTAAGAGACCAGTTTCTTTTATGCAGGACATTTACTTCTCCTGTAGAGCTTATAAAGTGTTTGAAGTCTATTAATAATCATGCCTTTGTGGCTTCTGACTATCCTGTTGTCATAACTCTAGAAGACCACCTTACACCGGACCTTCAGGCTAAAGTTGCCGAGGTGAGTCTTTTTCATTCCTTCAGGAGTTTGAATCTTTGGTAGTCTTATAAAGTAGTGATTTTTCTCATTAATTTTTAGATGGTCAATCAAACATTTCGGGAGATCCTGTTTACTCCTGGTTCAGAATGCTTGAAGGAGTTCCCCTCACCACAATCTATGAAAAAACGGGTTATTATATCAACAAAACCACCAAAGGAGTACCTTGAGGCCAAAGAAATTAAGGAAAAAGAGAATGGTTCAGACAGAAGTAAGCCTTTAGGTGATGAAGAAGCTTGGGGTAAAGAAGTTCCAGACCTTGAAGGCAGTATCAGAGGTGATAATAAGGTGTGTGGAGATTGCAGCATGTGATTTGGTACTCTGAGTTTTAAATATTATGATTGCTGACAAACCATGATTGGGCAGAATGGTGATGACGAAGATCAGAGTGATGAAGAAGATGACAGTGATGGAGATCTAAAGTCACAGCAACTTGTGGCACCACAATATAAACATTTAATTGCTATTCATGCTGGAAAGCCTAAAGGTGGAATATCTGAAGCTCTTAAGGTGGATCCTGATAAAGTTAGACGTCTTAGCTTAAGCGAGGAACAGCTTGAGAAGGCTGCCAAAACTCATGGAAAAGAAATTGTGAGGTATTTACTATAAATTTCAGTGAATTCACTCTTTGGAGTGGGAATGGTAGATTTCTCAACCCTGCCATTACGCCTTTTTTAGCAACCTCAAGTACTCTCCTCTGATGACCTTATACAGGTCCAGGAGCTAATGTGTCTTTGTTTTAAATAGCTCATGTTTTCACGTTATGATGATTGGCCTCTACAGGTTTACTCAGCGGAATATACTAAGAGTTTATCCAAAGGGTATACGCGTTGACTCATCAAACTACAACCCGTTAATTGGCTGGATGCATGGAGCTCAAATGGTTGCATTTAACATGCAGGTTGATTCTTTTCTTTAACTCATTTTTCTCTCTTTTCATAAAAAGGTAGGAACCTGAAGCTTTGGGATGTGGCCTTTTCTTTTAAATTCCTTGAGTTGTGAATGGGCATAAAGTATTAACAAACTTTACCAATCTGAAAAGAAGACAGAAAATTTGGAAAAAAGAAACAATTTTCGTGATTGCTGTTTCATTAAACACTAATCTCTAACCGTTTTCGTAGTAAATCCAGATTAATTCCTGTCATGAAGTAAGTCAAACTTTTTCATATTCAAGGGAATTAACATTTTGAACCAAAGGGTAGTTTCTCGAAGTTCATTAGATGTTAAAGATGGTTTTTTTCGGTATGACAGGGTCATGGAAGATCACTTTGGATAATGCAAGGAATGTTTAGAGCAAACGGAGGTTGTGGGTACGTGGAAAAACCCGATTTTCTATTGAAGACAGGTCCAAATAATGAGATCTTTGACCCAAAAGTTCGGTTACCAGTGAAAAAAACTCTAAAGGTAAGTGTTAAATAGCCATTTACCTTAATAATCTCCAAAGTTAATTTCTCTGTTCTGAATACAGAATATTTCCTTAATTTGTTTAGACAGTAATTAAGATTTACTATTTGGGTTTTATTGAAAAAGGTAACTGTATATATGGGTGAAGGATGGTATCAGGAATTCCCCCACACTTACTTTGATCAATATTCTCCTCCAGATTTTTACACAAGGGTAAGTTTTTTTCATGGCCAACCTCCTGCATTTTACAGCAAATGATTAACCTAACAGTAAGAAACTGAGATTCTATACAGTATATTCAAAAGAAACTCACTTGGAATTTGATTCATCAATGTTCAGGTCGGCATTGCTGGAGTTCCAGCAGACACTATGATGACCAAAACAAAAACTCTAGAGGATAATTGGGTGCCTGCTTGGAATGAGACATTCGAGTTTCCACTAACAGTCCCAGAACTGGCTCTGCTTCGAGTCGAGGTCCACGAGTATGACATGTCAGAAAAGGATGATTTTGGAGGCCAAACATGCCTACCTGTTTGGGAACTCCGAAAAGGAATTCGAGCAATTCCCCTCTATAACCGGAAAGGAGAGAAGTTCAAACATGTGAGGCTTCTGATGCGATTTGATTTTGTTTGATTCTTTCAAGAGTTGAACCAAATAGTACTCCTGGATGGAAGATGTTCAAATTTGTTGTGCTGCTTTGAGCTTGATGTTATGGTGAACTGCTGGTTTGCTGTGTGATTTTCATCTTCTCCCATGTTCTATTTGTATGATGCATATATAAATAACATCTGCTCTGTTGCAGTTATGTACAAGTGTTATGTATTTGTCATGTAATTTATGTAATGATATAGAGAATATTATCCTTGTAATAAAAAACCGGCTCCAGTTTATACTTGGATTCACCTCCCTCATGTTAAATTAGATTCTAATTTTTTTTTTATTACAGTTTAGTTCTTAAATTTATAATTTTTTTAATTCATGATTTTCTGTATAATCCTAAGAATTTTCACAAGATTTTTTATTTTTTTATTTTTTTTATTGAGTTTAATAACATTATAAAGATATAATATATAAACTAGTGATAGAAAATAAAAATTAATAATGTAAATTATTTAACAATTATATACATATATATATATATATGTAAAATGTAATATTATATATATAATAGATGTGATAGCTATACCATCAAATTGTTCTCATATCTATTTCGGATTTTTAACTTTTTATCTATATTCATTTTGTTATTTATTAATTATGAAATCCCTATTTTCATGCAAATCACGTGCATGCCACGTGACCTAAAGTTCTCCAGTCTTCTGTTGGAAGTCTTCAAACTAATAAGAGACTTCAACTTCCAACAAATCCCACCTTAAATTTCCAGAAAATCACCAAAATGTCCTCCGCCATCAACCGCCGTCTTGCGCCACCACCACCAGCACCGGTGCCTGTCTCCGGATCCGATACTGACTCAGATTCCGACACTGGATCCGACCCCCACAATCGCCATGCAGATCTCTCGAATTCCATCTTCAAATCCTACCTTGACTGCCACCAATCCTCATCCTCATCAACTTCCGTAGGCCTCTCCAAAATCCAGTCTTTCCTCGCATCGTCTTCGTCCGGCGCTCTATCCTGCCTGATATGCCTCGAGCGCATCAAGCGTCCGGAACCCACCTGGTCTTGTTCTTCACTCTGCTTCGCGGTCTTCCACCTTGTCTGCATCCAGTCCTGGTCTCGCCAGTCGTGCGATCTCCACGCCGCACGGGCCGCCATTCGGCTCCCTATTTCCGCGGAGAAAGCCACCGAGTCTGCCATCTGGAACTGTCCCAAATGCAGATCCCCATATACTAGATCGCAAATCCCGAGGAAATATCTTTGTTTCTGCGGAAAACTCGAAGACCCACCCAGCGACAACCCCTGGATCCTGCCCCATTCCTGCGGCGAAGTCTGCGAGCGTCCCTTGAGCAACAACTGTGGACATTTCTGCTTGCTACTCTGCCACCCGGGTCCTTGTCCGTCGTGCCCAAAACTGGTGAAAGCCCGCTGCTTTTGTGGGTTTGTCGAGGATGTTCGACGATGTGGATTCAAGGATTTCTCCTGCAACAATCATTGTCGCAGAATTCTAGACTGTAAAATCCACAAGTGCACAGAAATCTGTCACGACGGCTCGTGCCCGCCGTGCAAGGCACGTGGGGTGTATAGTTGCCAATGCGGTAAGGTGAAGGAGGAGAGGGATTGTTGGAATAGGGTTTTTAGGTGTGAGAACCCATGTGAAAATTTGCTTGGTTGTGGCAAGCATGTCTGTGAGAGAGGCTGTCACTCGGGCGACTGTGGAGATTGTCCTCTTCAAGGAAAGAGGACATGCCCATGTGGGAAGAGACTCCATGAGGGAATTTCATGCGATGTTGCCGTGCCACTATGCGGCGCCACCTGTGATAAGATGCTGGGCTGTGGCTTCCACAAGTGTCCAGAGAGGTGCCATAGAGGACCCTGCATTGAGACCTGCAGGACTGTCGTTATGAAGTCTTGCAGGTGTGGAGGATTGAAGAAACAGGTGAAAAATTCTCAATATTTTTGCTTCCCTTTTACCTACTTTTTGGAATTGGGAGCTCTTAACTTACCTTAAAGTAGGTTCCTTGCTATCAAGATTTGACGTGTGACAGGAAGTGTCAGCGAATGAGAGATTGCGGACGCCATGCCTGTAAGAGAAAATGCTGTGATGGGGACTGTCCGCCTTGTGCCGAGGTGCATTTCATTGTATTATATTTTCAAGTTTTATCAATTTTTTCTACTTCCCCATGTGATAAAACGTTTGAATTTCAAGGTTTGTGGGAGGAGGCTTCGGTGCAAGAACCATAAATGCCCTGCCCCTTGCCACCAGTATGTTACCCTATCCTATACTTCACTTTTCTTTGCTTCCTGCATTGACTTAATTCATTTGGTAAAGATATGAAACATATGAACTAATTCCAGAATGTGTATCTACATGTAAGCATATGAAAAAAAATACATCATTACATTTTAATCAGTTGTATGCATTCGGTCATAATTCCATTTAAACGAAATACCTCGAGTTGAGGTTAGAGAGAACTTGGACAACTTAGATGTGGAACATGTTAAAGTCAGCTCCCTGCCTACTGACATTTGCAATCCATCATATTCAAAGAGTATGGTTTAATTTCAAATACTTGATAATTAGCTAGCTAGAGACTGCTCATGAATTGGTGGGGATACTTATTTTGCAAAGTCCTTATTAGTTATATAATGCCCTTTGTGATGATTGTTAGTTTGTTTTTGTAGAGGTTCTTGTGCTCCCTGTCCACTGATGGTGACAATTTCGTGTGCATGTGGCGAGACACATTTCGAGGTGAGAGGTTGGCTGGATTTACATTCTCTTTTCCTTCTTTTAGTCATTCATCTGCATGAAACTGGGCCTCAAAAGTATCGATTTCAAGTGTGGACGTGTAAATTACAGACAATCTGTTTGATTTTTCACTTATCTAAAGTATTTTCCTTTGTGCCTTTCTTTAGGTTCCCTGCGGCACAGAGATGGATCAAAAGCCTCCTAGATGTCGCAAATTATGCCCTATAGCTCCTCTGTGCAGGCATGGATCAAGTATCAAGGTACTATTTACCGCCTTACCTTATTTCTTCCTCGAATTCTGTGTTACCTCTGACCAATGTTTTTGGCTTGCTAGTTTTCTTCTTGGTATGAACGTGAATTCAGTGACTATTATTCTTTGTACTTGTGTGTTTCTTCTTCATAGACTTTATAATCAATTTTGCATATTTTGATTTGTCTAGAAGTTGTATATTTATCATGTACGTATCACTCATTAAGGTGATTAATACTGCACAGATTTGTTTCATAACTTATATTATTTATGGTTTGTTTTCCTCGAGAGAATTTTTCAAGGCTAATGTGTTTTCGTCCAGCCACATAAATGCCATTATGGAGCTTGCCCAACTTGCAAGTTGCCTTGTGATGAAGAATACCCTTGTGGCCACAAGTGTCAATTAAGGTCATTACATCCCTTTAGTTTTTTCTTCCTGAAAATTGTTATTATTTTGTGACATTTCTGGGTTTTGTTTGTCTGGTGCATTCAGATGTCATGGCCCTAGACCTCCACCTAATCCAGAATTCACTTTGAAACCAAAGAAAAAGAAATTCAATCATCAGAACGAATGTACTCCTGGTTCTTCGTGTCCTCCTTGTCCAGAACTTGGTTGGAGGTCATGTGTTGGTCAGCATCTCGGGGCAGAGAGGATGGTTGGTTGCTTTCCATTTAATCTTAGTTAGTATAGTAGTATCCAAACAATTCAACAATATCATAACTCGAGTTCGTTACTTCTATCGCCTTCTCAACCTTTTGTCCCTCATTTTCTTTCTCTGTTAACACCAGATGGTTTGCTCAGATAGATCAATGTTTTCCTGTGATAACTTGTGCGGAAATCTTCTTCTTTGTGGAAATCACTATTGCACAAAGACTTGCCATGCCTTAAATAACCAATCATCATCTTCTGATCGAAGCAAAATAAGCGAGTCCTGTGAAGAGTGTCATCTTCCTTGCCAAAAGGTATTCAAGTTTTTACTTTTTTCAAGTCATTTATGTGCTCCTTGCCCACGTCTACTGTCCTCATTATATTATTGGTTGAAATTGGAAGCATGCCATCAATAATCACTCATCTCATCCTTTAGAACTCGTTATTGTTAAGTTGTTTTGAGGATTCTTAAATGTGCTCATCCTTCAAATAATTGATCAGGAGAGACAACCTGCTTGTCAGCATCCTTGTCCTCTCCCTTGTCATTCTGGGGAGTGTCCCTCATGCAAAGTTCTTATAAAGCGATCGTGTCACTGTGGCTCACTGGTACATGCTTTCGAATGCATATATTATAACACCTTGTCCGAGAAAGAGCAAATGACAATTCGTTCATGTGGAGGGCCTTGCCACAGGTAATTCCTTGGTATTTTCTTTCATATTGTTTTTCTCAGCCTTACATTCAGGATTTACCTCCATCAGAAAACTAGTAGTAGAGTTGTGTTATCATCATGTGCACTTTTAGCAAAATTGTTATTACTGATATGATTTTGCTGGTCCAGAAAATTACCGAACTGTACTCATTTATGCCCTGAGACATGTCATCCTGGTCAATGTCCGGTGCCTGATAAGTGTTGCAAAAAGGTATTTTATTTGACACAGTTCACCATGACCGGTGATTAGTAGATAGCTTATTTTAGTTTAATTGAATATTAAAATCATCTTTCTAATTAACTTCTTTACATATTTAATTTATCAAGGTTACTGTTCGTTGTAAATGTCAAACCTTGAAGAAAGAATGGGTCTGTCAAGATGTTCAAGCAGCCTATCGAAATGCTGGTTATGACCCTAAAGACATATCTAAAAATCAATTTGGACTTGGCCTTCTGCCTTGCAATTCTGATTGTAAGAGTAAAATACAGGCTGTTGAATCAGTGTTGCAGCTGCGTAAATCTAAAGAGATTGAGGTTAGGCCTTCATACCCCAGAAATCTCGTTCTTTATTTGATCTAGAAGCCTGCAAACTCGTTCTTTATTTGGTGTAAGAATAAATGGAGAGTGGAAAAGCAAGTCTCTTTCGTAACTCCTTGACATTGAAACCTTAATGCAAGCCACAAAAGAAGGCTGCATCTTACTTTTGCATGATAACTATGATTTCCGCGCAAGAACTAAGCCAAAGGTTCTTCACTGTATTTAGTTGCCATATGCTCTATTTCCGGATCGATGCTTACTGTTTCGAACTCAAAATTGTTCACCTCTTCAACCCGGTTGCTATTTTTAAGTTTTGAGTTGCGGTCCTTTCCATTAAGCAGTGTGATTGTTGCATTGATCACGATATCATAGCTTTCTGGTGAAGTAAGTTTTATTAATCTGAGATCTAATCTAATGTTTGCTATATCATGTGTCTGTTGAAGAAGGTGGAGACAGCTATCGAGAAAAATGCACCAAAGCGTCGGAGGCGGCGTGACCGTACCCAAGAAGCTAAACAAGCCTCAAAATTGGAGGTAACTCTGTTCTTCTCGAGATAGAAAATGAGCACTTTCGCCTTTCTCTTTACATAACATCCTCGTTTATTTGGTGACAGAAACTCGTTGGCACCGTGAAGCGGCTGCTTCTGTGGCTGACTCTCGTGGCAGTTGTGATTGCAGCGATGTATTATGGTTACAATGGCCTCCTTTGGCTTTCTGATTGGATGAATGAAGTTGATGGACGGAGGCAAAGAAGAAGATAGCCATTAGCGTGAAGGTTTCATACTTCAATAACATCCAGATATAGACAAATATTTATACATTAGGAATTCTTTCTTTCTTTTTTTCAGGAAATAATATGATTCAACTCCCTAAATGGGTTGGAGAAGTTAGAATATGGGGAAAAATTTTGGATGCTATTATTACACAGTAAGTTTTAAAGAATTTCTATTATTGTAAGCTTTATCGTGCACAAGAAACATAGATTTTTATTAAATAAATCGCTAGAGGCTGCTGGAAGAGAAACTAAACTTTAACCTTTGTTAATATTTATTAAGAAATTAAATGGGATTTGACATATGTTTGTTTGTACATGAATTAAATTATTATTATTATTATTAAATCTAATTACGATTAAACCAAATTTAGAGGTCGATGTAGTGCGAAGTCAGTATGATTTAATGAGAGGATGGAGACATTCTTTCAACGTCATTGTTGTTGGGAGGAAAAACCGAAATGCAAAGAAATTTAAGAGACGCGGAAGACACGGTTTAACCAAAATGCATTTGACCTCTTTGTTGAAACGCTTACATCGCACATCGTTACGACGTCGCTTTGAAATGTCGGTCAAATCTCGCGATTTCTTTTTAATGTGTGTACATGTACATATATATATATATATAATTATAATTATAATTTATTATATGTAAGTGATGATAGAATAATTAATTAGACTGAGATTTACCTAATATATATATTAACTAACCAAAGCATATTTTAAATTAAGTCAGAACAGAAAAAATTAAAGAAATCATAAATTCGAAATCAAAATGACGCTCTCATGTAGTATACATATATATATATATAATATTTAATTAATAAATATACAAATTTAATCAAAATGTGTATGTATTATAATGTATAATTTAATATTATTGCCATTTATTATTTTATGAAAATGTATTACGATTAAATAATAATAAATGTGAACCAAATCACCACCTAATTATACCCACATTCATAAAATCAAATAATTTTTTCACCATTTTATATCATGGAATAACAATTAATTCGGAGGCACCGGCGAATTAAATATGATTATAATTTATTATATATGAACCAATTAGAAAGTAACCATCAAATCTTGGGCTTACACGTGTCCAGGATATCCATTGACGTGCTTTTACTGCTCCCCTTTGATTGCTTCGCCCAGGTCAACCTTTCTCATCTGACCGCGCATAAAAGTGTGAGCCTTAAATAATATACGTACAAAAATTGGGCCCCATGTTTTTATTTTATCTTTTCTTTTTTTAAAAAAAATTACAATTAGTTCGTGGATATTTAAATTGCAAATTAGAAGTTTTAACATTTTAAATTTCTAAATTACTTATCCTAACTTTTATATTTTATTTATTTGAAAGTATTTTTGATAAAATACTTTTAAATTTTAGTAGATAAATAAGAATGTGACTGAAAATATTTTGATTTGTTTTTTTTTATAAAAAATAAATTTAATTGTAAATTTTCTTTTGATTATATAAAATTTGATTTAATATTATTTTAACGATTAAATAATAAAATTAAATTTAAAAAATGAAAAATAAGAAAAATATAAGCTGATAATCCTCTCTTTTTGGTATTTCTAAAAGAGATTCTTTGTTGATAAAGAGAAAATTTCAAATTTGAACAAACAAAAAGAACATAAACTACACATAATATTCTCTTCTTTTATCTTATATATATATATATATATGTAAATGTATATGTAAATGCATATATATATATATATATGTGTGTGTGTGTAGGTATATGTTTGTTTATCTGTTCGTCTTTGAGTTGATGTCCCTTGTCTACATTGATTTTATCAAAGTGGCAAGTTACATGGTGCTTTCTCTTTTTGGTTCAATGATATGAAACCCATCAATCAATGAGTCATGTCCATTGTCTGCCGACCTCCTCATATGCATCCCACAAAAAGCATATATATATATAGCCTACACAATTTTTTATTGAAAAATAAATAAATTTTATATTATGTAAGTAATTTCTAAGTATACTTGGTAAATAAATGTTCATTTGTGTCTTTAAGATCAGGGTTAGTTTTAATTTTAATTGAAATAGTCTACTTTGATATAATTTTTGAAATATAAAATAATAATAATAATAATATATGATACTTTTTTTTGTGAGCATGATATGGAAGTAATGAATGGTTATACTTATATATGTAATAATAATGGACGGCACTTAATTTTATGCTATAATCATATAATTCACTAACTTTAGAAGAATATAAAATCTATAAAAAAAAATGGAAGCATAAATTTATTCTTTTTTTTTTTTTGTTCCACATTATAAAAATAAATCATATAACAATTATCCTTGCTGTTAGTGTTCACAAAATCCTACACTTGACAGCTCAATGTTAAATCATTAAAACACCTAAATTCTTTACATTCCCATCTAAATCATTCTCTTCTCCCCCAAAAAAATAAAAATAAAATTCAACCCGAAATTATGTAATTCCCTCTTTACTTTCGAGATTCGAAAGTTCAATCCGTTAAAACAAGATTTCGAAACTGTAATTTCCCCAATCATTAGATTCGTTATCTCGAAACATATTTCTAACGAATCTAACAGCAAAAAAAATTATCATGACATGTTTACGAATTGGATTGGATTGGACTCGAAACCGGGCGCCGGATAGATATTTATCGGGGTGCAATTTCACTCTGAGATCACGGAGATTGTGCCACTAGAGATGCTGCCATGGCTGTCATCACAAAGTGCCAATGCTCTTTCCAAATTGGCAACAATGTCTGAAATAGTAGGCCTATCTTTCCCTTCCAAATTTACGCAATGCATAGCAGTATAAGCCACCAGCTCCACTGCTTCTGCTTCACTGATCCCTGGCGTCCCAACTCTCGTATCCAAAATCTTTTCCAAATCCCCGGCCATGATCGGCGGCACTGCAAAATCTACCACACTCACTGGAGTTCCACTCTCGTCGCTACCCTTAAAAATAGCTCTCTTCCCCGTCAAAAGCTCCAGCAACACCACGCCAAGCCCATACACATCACTCTTTGCTGTCAACACATTAAGACCGTAGTACTCCGGATCAATGTACCCAACTGTCCCGGCCGCCTTCATTGGCCTGCATTCGCGATCAAACTCCGGACCCATCAGCGATAACCCGAAATCCGAGACTCTTGCCGTCCATGTAACATCGAGGAGAATGTTGGAGGACTTAATGTCTCTGTGGATTATCGGAGGAACTGCATAATTGTGGAGATACTCAATGCCTCTGGCCGCGTCTAAGGCAATTTTGATTCTTATTTTCCATGAATTCAACACGCTGTTGGATTTCTCTACATTGTTTCTATCATGTAAATGGTCGTATAAAGCGCCATTTTTCATGTACTCGTAAACCAGGAGCCGCTCTTCGTGTTCTTCGCAGTACCCAACAAGGCGCACCAGGTGTTTGTGATGGAGTCTGGATAAGAAAGCGAGTTCTGAATCAAACGCGGTTTCTTTTTCTTGAAATTTCTTGGTTTTTGATCCGGTTTCGCCTCTCTTGATTGCTACTTCACGCCCGTCTGGTAGTTTTCCTTTATAGACAATCCCGAAGCTGCCGGCGCCGATCTTGTTTTCTTTGGAGAAATTGTTTGTGGCAGCGGCGAGCTCGGCGAGGGAAAACTCCTCTGCTTTATCTGCGTGTTTTGTCGATGAGGTTCCACTCCTTTGTCGTCTCATTGTCAGGACTCGTGAGCCTTGCCGCCGTATTGTGGAGGAACGGGATGGTGGGCTATTACTTGATGATGGATTGCCGCCATTGGAACCTGCTCTGCCGATTGTGGGTTGAACTGAGTTGTGCACTTTCTTCTTCCCGAAACAGACCCCGGTCCATAAACAGTATCCTACGGTGCAGAGACCTGCAAAAGCTCCGACTGATCCGATAATGGCGAATGCTAGTAACCCTCTTGTTAGTTCATTGGAAGGAGGAGGAGGAGATGAAATTGAGGGAGATGGAGCTACTGGGTCTGCTGATGGTGGTGATGGTGATATCCATGATTGATTCAAACAAGGTTTACAGATAGTACCAGAACCGGAACAAAGGGTTTCAGAATCAGGATATACACCACAATTACAGGAAGATTGTACACATGGGCCTGGTAGAATCTTAGGAAGAAGAAGCCCTGTCCCTGAAATTGACCCATTTGTCGTCCATGAACCCCAACAAATTATCGACAGATTTGCTGTCGTCAACCCACAAGTGAAATTCGAACCAGAAACGATTGATTCAAAATGAACCTCCTCTGTTCTTTCACGGCCGACAAGGATTGTATCCGCTCCCCAACAAATCACTGACTGGTTCCATCTACGTATCGCGCAGGTAGCATTAGCACTTAGAGCCAATCCATCAAACTCCATAGCCGAGCTCGACGGAATGTTCAGTTGCCCAGATTCATTATTCCCTTTACAAACAAGATACCCAGTTGAATTCAGCCCACAAACATGTGACCCACCAGCAACAATTGTCGCCATCGTCATGTTACCAAATTCGGATTGGATCCGACCCGCCACCGGGTTACTACCCCAGCACTGAATTCGGTTACCTCCCAATAAAATCCCACAGGAAAAACCGAAACCAGATGATATCGACGAGAATGTCGCGACCGGTGGCTGATGGGTGACGTTATCACCTCTCCAGCACCTGACATCGCCGGTGCCGATCACGGTGGCGCAAATCTGGTCATCGCCGACGGAGAGGTTCTCTAGCAAAACGGTTTCGTTGTTGTATAATCTCTTGGGGGTAAAATTGGAATTTCGGATGTCATCCCAACAAAGCAGACTAAAACCTCCAGAGCGGAGACCGCAGAGGACGTTATTACCGGCGGCGATGGAGGAAAAGGAGACGTTGGGTTCAACGAATCTGATCGTACCACGTAAGTCCTGGCAGGCGATGCGCTGGGTGGATTCTTCGGCCACGATGGCGCAGACGGTGCCGGAGCCATAGCTGACGGCGACGGTAGAGCCGGAACCCAAAGCATGGGCCGGCAATACTGAAATGAACTTAAAGATAACCGCGAATAAGACGGAAACTGCGATGGAGACGGAGAATATTGGCGGTTTCGTCATCAAAAAAAGCGGAGCTCGACGGCGGTCGTAATGGTTTCTTGGTTGGTTTGCTTCATTGGCGAAAGTTTCAAGCTTTCAACAGAGAGAGAGAGAGAGAGAGAGAGGTGTTTAGAATTCAATTTAAGGAACGTTCAAAATTATTAGGCCGCGTTTGGCATAAAAAGTTAACAAAAATGGAAGAGAACATTAATTTAATTTTTAAGTTTAATGATAAATTTTAATTTATTTAATTCTCCGTTTTGGGATATACCAATTGCCGCACATTTTAAATATCTTTTTGATAAAATAATTTTTCAAATAATAAATGAAAGAAGATAATTTTTTAAAACAACTAACTAAAAATTGACAATAACTTTAAAATTTTAAACATATTATAAAATTAAAAATATAGCATAGATATTTAATTATGTATGTAAGTGTATAGTAGCCGACAAAATAATTAATTGTCTTTCAAAAATATTTGCTGCTCATTCTTAATATTTTCAGAAAACTTTTTTCGGTAATTAAAAAACACCATGATATACGTATACGTTAATACATAACACTACAAATTACTTTGTTTGATGTTGCGTACCATTTTAAATTTTATTATTTCTTTTTAAAAATGTGTTCATTAGTTAAAACACCATGTAACATATATATATATATATATGTATCAATGTATAACAAAATATAAATTTTCAAAATATTTGGTACGATAACAATATAAGAATATATTTTCTTGTAAATGCACAATAACCAACAAAACAATTTATTAGGAAAATATTAGAGTTTTTGTTGCATTTTCAGAATGTAATAGAGATAAATTACCAAGTTAGCCCTTAAAAATTATTATGAATCAATTTGTAATTAGTGCCTAGAATTGATGTTTTATCCTATAATAATTTACAATATAATATATATATATATATATGCATAGTAACTAATAAACCAATATTTGATGTCCTGTTTATTTTGAATCTTGCTTTACTATTTTAGAAAAATTGTTCACTAATTAAAAAAAAGTAAGGCCATATATAAATTAATGTATAATAAAGTAAGACACTTTTAAAAAATAATA